CAATTCTCTCCTGCATAAAAAAGTGAACAAAAGACTATTTTTTCTAAGGAAGCTAAAGTATTTTAAAGTTGATAAAACATTGATGCCCATATTCTACCATTCAACCACAGAAAGTATGATCAATTTTTGTATAACAGAATGGGCCTGGGGCACAAGACAACAAGATAAAGAAAAATTAAATCGACTAATACGGAAAGCATGTAAAATTTCAACATCTGCATTCCCCTACTTGAATGAATTGTACATAACAGGGTGCACTAAAAGATATAATTCCATCTTTTTAGACAACAAACATCCCTTGTTCCCTCAGATAAAAACATCAGTCAGAAGTAAAACACCTAGACTTCTGATTTGTAACAAAGAAAGATATAGAAGGTCATTTTTACCATCATCCGTCAAATGCTTCCATCTTGTATAAGTATACTTACGACCATAGAGCAAGCATCAGAATAACATTAAGTGTGTAACTAGTTTACGATTATTATAGTTTATATTGCTGCCCATTTATATTCTGCATGTGATTGTAAGCCTGCGTGCGTGAGCATGTATGTGTGTGTGTGTGTGTGTGTGTGTGTGTGTGTGTACACGTGGTGAAATACCAAACCAATGTGCCAGGATCTGGACAATAAAGATGTATCTTAACTTATCTTACAGTGTCGTAGTTGAACTTGTACGGGTTCCAACCGTTGAGCGGGGTTGTGTAGAAGACCTCGAGAGGAATAGCATACGTCACTCTGAGGAAAAAACGGGAGGATGAAAATACCATGTCAATGAGGAAAGAAATTCCATTAATGAGCAGATTTTTAAAGGGAAATTGAAGGTGTTTAGATCTACATGAGGTATAGATTTTTTCCACTGCAAAACAAGGTGTCGTGGCGCCAACACAGGCAAAACCACAAGAAGCTGCAGTTTTGTCTAATAGCAGAAATGTCACTTTTGACAGGTGTACCAATAAGACCATTGTTAGTCGAGAAGTAGTTATTTCTTGATACAAAACTGTCTAATCTGTCCCTTTTGTTAAATAGAGAGCTAAGCTAGGAAGCAGTGAGACCAATAGTGCGAATAGAGATCATAATAATTTCTTCACTTTCTATCTCCTGCGTCCCCTCTCTCCTTCATTATCCAGGCACCACTCTAATTTCTTTTTATAATAAACTATCCCTTCGTGAGCGACTAAATGAAACAAACTTAAACAAAAACAAGCAAACAAAACAAACAACAACAAAAACGAAAACAAAATAAAACAAACAAAACCAAAACAAAATAAAAACAAAGCAGCAACATACAATTAAACAAAACAACCCCCCCCAAAAAATAATTATACTAGAAGCAAAAACAAAACAAAATAAAACTTAACTACGGGAAGAAGGAAAGGGTACCAGTGTAAGCCCTACCTCCTGGTTTCCCAGGTACACCCGGACGACTTGTCACAGATCTTGATGGTGAACGGCATGATCTCCTTCTGGGTCGTGCGCGCTACCCACAGGTGCTTGTCGTTGAAGCCGCGGTAGTGGATCTGAGAGGGGGGCACAACACAGAGAGAAGGGGTGTTACAAGGGGTTATAGAATGTATGGAGGGGGGACCAAGAGGTAAAGGGGGGTCCATATCTACCTTGCAGGAGATGATGGTGGGTGATGATGATGAAGATAAGGAGGAGGAGGATGATGATGATGATGATGATGATGATGATGATGATGATGATGATGATGATGATGATGATGATGATGATGATGACGATGATGAAGAAGCTGATGATGATGATGTCTGCCCAGTATGAAATGACACTCGATGATAGCAATGATAATGATTACGATAATAGAGAGAAATTAGAAACAGCTTGACATCTTTCAATGACTACACGACATCCTCACTTGATTCTCTCCAATCGATACAGAATTCTGAACAGCAGGTACTCCCCAGCCCTCCCCGGTATCCAAAATCCCTCATAGGTCTCACCTGTCCTCCAATGGCGACTCCAGATGTTTCACTGAATATCACGCACTTTGAAAAGGCATATAGGATTGGGGGGGGGGGTACTTTACCAACTCCTTTTATCCCTCAAGGGACTCCCTCCAAATGCTGCATTAGTTCTCAACAGCAAGGCAAACCCCTCTCTATCCCGCACTCACCCCTATTTTCATTTCCTTACAGAACTCACTTGCCCTCCCATGGCCCCTCGTTGGCCGATCATGTACAGCCTGTGGTAGTAGCCGACGTTGAGAGGTCGTTGACCCCCTGCCCCGACATCAAAGTTGGGCAATCCAAACGAGTCGTCCGTCAGATTGGCGCCGTAGTTGTCTTTTCCTGGGATCTCTGCCATCAGTTCATCGAGAAGCGTGTATCGGATTGGCCTGTATTTATGTTTTTCAAAAAGAAAAAGTATGTAATTGTAATTGTCTTACGCCCAAATCGACTTATTTCGGTCATTTATGAGGTGACTGCTTCGACACTGCCTACTAGGGCCAACACAGACACCAAATACCTGTCTAAATATATCTTATTTGGGTTGCATCTAGGATGTTAGATTTTACTTGTATTCTACACACCAACCTCATCGACAAAACGATTTATAGATGGCGTTATTAGGCTCTAATCGTGTACCTTGAAGAAATAGGTTAACTCTGTTTTTGCTTTATAACAATTTTTGAGGACGATCTAAGGGCTCTCAATAAAAATTAGTAGTCAAAATGCACAAAAATAATATTTTGGAGGCACTGTGGTCTAACACGTATATCGCTCTTCATTTTAGATACATCAGAAAGGTTGTAGTTGTGTTTCCTGTTGAATTCTCTTCAAAGAAACCAGTGACAGAGCTAAAGAATGACACTTTTGCTATCTGTGTTATAACTGGGCGGGACGCTCTGTTAGCTCAGGTGGTATCACGCTGGACTACGGAGCGAATGGCTCTGGCTCAAATCCCTAACGTGGCGTTCTTAAGGTTGGGAGGTTTTAGGGAGATTTTACGGCTCTCTACCCATTTGGCTTGGTCGTTCTGGAGATGGACGTTATATTCGGAGGTCCTGTCTCTCAAATAACCTTACAATGTTAAAAGGAGAAGTGTTCAAGGGGAACGCCAAGTGGAACTTGAAGAAGAGCTACAGATAATGATCTACAGAAGAGTGGAAATACATGGAATATCAAGAGGCTAGCCCAGGATAGGGAAAGGTGGAAAGCGTTTGTTCGAGGCCTACACCCTGATCCAGGGTGAGAAACGCAGTGATGATGATGATGATGATGATGATGATGATGATGATGATGATGATGATGATGATATAAGGGGTGCTTTTATATCCATACAACGATACCTAGGCTCCTCAAATTCGCTGAGCTTGAACCGGGCACTCCTAAAGCCGGGCATCTTGTCCATGGATCTGTCGTGAGCCATGCGGTAGGGGAGGTCATCCTGTAGGCGGAACAGCTTGGTGGGCAGGTCACGTGACAGGGGATGACACAACATCCGGTAGTTCCACTGGGCGATCTGAGGTGTGCCGTCCTCAGTGACGTTGTAGAGAGTGGTGGGCAGGTAGGCGAAGTTCTCCAAGGCGTTCATGTGGCCCGTGTAGGACGTGTAGCGGATCTGCGGGCCGATGAGGGGAGGGCGTGGGGTGAGGGATCATAATATTGTTGGAAACTAATACATTTATAGAATGACGATTGGAGTCACATATTCGAAATTGTTGTGTTATTACCCTACGCTTGAGTGGCGTTGGTAAAGTAGTAGTTCGACTACCGGAATCGTAATTGCGCGTGAGGTTGCAGGTTCGGGGGTTCGAGGCTCTGCTCAGCCCGACACTGAGTCCTTGGGAAAAGGCACTTTACACAACTTTTCTCATTTCGACTCGGTACTGTCGGAGAAGGACGTTAAGTTCGTAGCTCCTGCCTCTTAAATGAAGTTACAGTGTTGCAATAGGCATTAAACCTATACTGCTTCTGTCGTTTACAAAGAAAAAATAGTTTTGAAAACCTGTCAAATCAAACAATGTGCCTAGTCTTGAGGTAGAGATACCTTTTCAGAAGAATTTCTGAGAGAGAAACAATCACGCTCACTGACCTTTTCAGAGAGGTCAAACCAGCTGCTGGCCTCTAGATGGTGTCTGTCGCTGGCAAACGGCTCCTGGAGGGTGTCACGTGAGCTCAGAGTCCAGCCAGCCTCCAGATAGCACAGGTTAGGTTTAAAGTACTTCCGGTAGTCTCTGACTGAATGATCTTGCTCTTTGAAGGCCCGGAACCATTCACGCATCTCCAGCACTTGCTCCTGTTGACGACATGAAGGGCAACACATTACTGGACAAAATCAATCAAAACGTGACTAGTGGGTGTAACTGAAATTGTAAATGGGTTAGGCTCCCAATGACTCGATTTAGATCATTTAGGCAGTTGGGGGCTGTTATCTGTTATTATGGGGGGGGGATTCTTCGTTTCGGGACAAAGACATGGACAGAAAGACCCTGCTGAAGACAGATTATACTCGACACCTTTAATGTATGATTCTAGAAGATGGTGCTGTAAATACAATAGCATTTTTCCTACTAAAACAAGACACACAAACACGCCCGCTGACACACAGACACACCAACAGAGAGAGAGAGAGAGAGAGAGAGAGAAAGAGAAAGAAAGAGAGAAGTACTGACCTTTATGGTTGGCTTACTCGTGACCTCAGGGGGCACATCTGGGTATGGAACCCGAACCGTCTCACCGTACTTGTCCGTGTCGGCGGCCCGACGGAACATGTAGTCATTGTGGCGGGTTCTGAACTCCACACCGTTCATGACAGCGGTAAACTCTCCTGTAGGATGAAACAGAAAAGTTCATATGGAATAATAACAATAACAATGATTGCATTTATAGAGCGCATAATCCCAGGCTCTACAGCTTGATCTATGCGCATTACAACGTGCATTGTTACCCCATAAATCTGTACAATACCAAAAAAAAAATTTTTTTTGATAAATAAAACTCCAACTGATTGTTTGTCTGTCTGTCTGTCTGTCTGTCTGTCTTTTTCTTATTCCTCCATTATTCTTCTTATGAAACACACACACGCACGCGCACACACACTCACACATTCACACTCACACATCCACACTCACACACAAACACACACACATACACACATACAGACACACACACATAGCCATTTACACACACACGAGTACACATGCACACACAAGAAGGCTTTGCATGCCCACACATGTTATCAAATCTCCAATCTCATTCTGTTCTTTTTGTTTTTCTTTTTTTAAGTTTATTATCCAGCCCAAGGAGGTGTCAAACTGAGCTTGAGAGTAAGAGAGAGACAGAGAGAGAGAGAGAGAGAGGGGGGGTTGGGGGTGAAGAGAAAAAGCTGATAACTGATCAACTAAATCTTCATCTCAAATGAATCCTTTTTGAGACTAGTGCTGGGTTATAATAATGGCATTCGTTTTCACAGGTTTTTTGCTCAATTGACATCGAGTTTTGTATACCTTTGCACCAGATCCAATGAGGCCGTGGTTTCTATAAAGAAAATGTATTGACTCGAGATAGGTGGTGGGAGGCAGGGTTAATATCACTCTGAAGCTGTAGATTTCATGACATACAATAACAGGCTGCGGATCGAATCCCAGGAACAGCTGTCCAGATTTGAGCGACACGCATACCTGGGCGCGTGCTTGCGAGTGTGTGTGTGTGTCTCTGTGAGTGTATGCTTAAGTGTTGGAGAGATCGAAGCGTTTAGTTGGACACGAAGACCGGTTCAACAATGATGTGCTCTGTGGGAGTTGGGCAGAGGGGAAGCTGAAGAGAATTTAAAGGAAGTACTGTGCATTGTGTGTCTTAAACTTGGAGTAACGCAGCTTCACAGAATGTGATTTCTGATGAAACTATTTGACATGACTTTCACTAGAGTCGTCTAGCCGAATGGAAAAACAATATAAAACTTCAGATTTTGTGTTTGTTCATCCGCCACCAGTTGTAAGTAGAAATCTACATGCTTTTGTGATTGAGTGAAAGGTTTACACGTGAGTGTAAGATTTGTGACTATAATTTTATGTGTCTGTGCTTCACGTATTCATGAACTAGCAACAACTACTAAAACTTCACACACAAAAAAAACGCATACAGGCACACACACATACACACACACACACACACACACACACACA